GTCCACTAGGTTTTAAGCCAAAAGCGATGGGGCAGTTGGTGGCCTTCCCTCGGCAGCTATTATCAAATAAGTTGGTTTTTGTACGAGACTATCAGCTGTAGTTCGAAAAACGTCTTATTGAGCTCAGGTATCTAGAAAAATTTCTTTAAAAAAAGTAACTGAGTACTGCAGTGTACTCTGCATTAAAAAATGCGAAGACACCGCCTTAATAAACTATGATGTAAAGCACTATAATAATTAAATTTGGAAAAAACTAAAATCATACAGATGTGTCGACGTTTCGCCGAAGAACAAGCAGAGGAAAAAGTAGTTAAAGAACAAGCTATTTAAATTAAACTTATTGAAAGCAAAGCGGAAGAATGCTGAGTAGAAAAGGAGAGCAGTAGTAGTTAGAAACGTTTAAAGAAAATTATAAAGACAACTAATTTGAAACTGAGTTACACTACTCTGAATATTAAAAAAATTGAAGAAAAGAAAACAGTAGGAAAATCTTGATGCGTAGAAAGGGAAACTTATCACATCATTTTCTCAGCTGGAAGGATGAGAAAATTGAATAACACTTTCTCCAGATATACCCAAGCAAATTACAGAAGAAGAGTGTTACTGCCTATAGAACACAATGAGAGCAGTTAGAAAGATAAGAAGAAGTAAACATAAATAAATCACCGATTATTCCGCAAGTTTTCAACTAGAAATGAATCAGAGATATCTATCTCTGATTCATTTCTAGTTGAAAAATTGCGGAATAATCCGTGATTTATTTACTTACTTAAGTAAGGCAGAAAAATCAAGAGAAACACAAACACATTTTACACCGGTTTCGATGAAAGGAAACAATTAAGCCAGGACGTTTAGATCAGAACAAGCGGGAGCATAACAAGAGCTCTATTCTGCTTTCTAAGACCTTATTCTACTAATTTTACAGCAAAATGCTTTTTGAGTTATGAACAGAGGTGCAGAATCTACCTTTGAGATTGGAAAATTTCCCTCTACAGAAAAAGTTTTTTCAAAAACTTCCCCGACATAATCCACAAACAGAATTTCTTTTTGCAGAATATTTGCAAAAGATGTTCTAATTTTTCAAAAAATTTCTCTAAAAAATCAATAAGTTTTACCTCGACGACCGTCGGAGCAAACAGACAGATTCTACAGCTGTGGTTATGAAACTGACACTCTCCAAAAAGTGTAACTTGTTTCTATACCAATGTCTTGTAAAAAGGATCATTTTCCTCCCACCCCGTTTTGAACCTCGAGGTACCCTTCTGAAGAAGAGCGCCCAGTACAAATTGTTTTGGATGAGACCGATATGATTATTTATAAAAAAAAGTCCTTGTGAATTCACCAAGCCTAAGGTGCTTGAATACTGAATAAGTTTCTGCAGCTTTCCACCTATTCAGAGTATCCATATTACTAAAAATATCGCTAACTAAATAAATAAATATTTCAGTAATTATAGCTTCTTCGAAAAAATGAAAACAGGTGATGAAATCCAGCTCTATTTCGATTCAATTCAAAACTTTCATCTGGTGAAATTGAATTAATACAAAACAAAAAGGAGCCCGAAAAGGTTTTTCTGTCATTTACTTAGATAACAGATATTTAATATGATAAATGACTGAGAAGTACAGGACTGTATGAACCTGGCATTTAGACAGGCCTCAGTTGCATACATAAAAGATACACTATTATACTGCCATTCATAACGTGGTTTCCATGGCGACAAACTCTACACTATAACTATTATTTTTTGCCAACAAAAATAGAAAGTCTTTCTTGATACATCAGGCTTTTTTGAAATTTGTTGTCGGAAACAAATTCAGAATTGTAGAGCGACATGTATACTACGATGAGAAGAAAGTGGCACTAAAAAACTGGAGTACTAAATATGAGTTAAGCAGTGCTAAAGCAACCAGTGCATCTAATAAACTAGTCTCTTCCAATAAATTCAAACCATTAACATCCTTCATGAACAATCAATTGTGCTTTCGATTATTAAGCATACAGTAAGTTCTGCTGGTTGTCTTTTCCGTCACCCCGGATTATAACGTGTTGATATTAAAGAGCAGTTTATTAAGAATAAAAGTCCCTAAAACAGATAGCGAGATACATACAGATGTTTTCCTTTTTTCTTTAAAAACCTAGATGAAATAGTACCACTAATAATAAACGAACGCTGCAAAAAGAGAAAAAACAACAAAATCAAAACCGGTTCGTCTATTGCGAATTAAATGTTTGACTGCTTCATTTAATGATACACGATGATAGACGAGATATATGTTTATGTTGTCATTTGCCCACAAAAATGTTTGTGTATAGAAAAAAACATAGATAATTAAATAAATGACGTATTTTGCGTAGATAACAAAGAACAAAAAATATGTTGTCTTATTATATAAACAAAAATGAAGATTCTTGACGAAATATCAGACATGATTAAAAATATCTGACGATGCAGCAAAACTTTTATCAAACATGGTTTCATTTTGTAGAAAGATTGGTATGAAAAGATTTGAGTTTGAAACAACTAAATTGCCTAAGATGACGACATTAGTGGAGTTTCTTGCTGCTGATTCGACGTGCTTGTTGTTGGAGACGTTTTCAGAACTTGTTTCAATTGATTTGACTCAACAGCACACAGTAGCCCATCATAATCACAACAAAATTCATTATCATTAAAGACTTGTGGTAAAGTTAATTTCAAATTCTTGTCAAATAAACTTTTTTGTAAAAATTCCTTCTCACCACTCTGTTTCGGATCACTAATATCCACTTCCATGTACGGAATATTATATGTATCTAATATATGTTTTACTTGTCGTTGACGTCCAGTAATCAGATGACTAGCACTTATATTTGATATATATACCTTAACCGGCATTATTGACGGCGTAGCACTTTCACAATCTGAAACAAATAAAATTCAGAAAGTTAGAAATAGAAGTACAAGATGCTTTTTATTGAGAAAAATGGCTCCGCTAAATAGCAAAAAACTGGATTCATTTTCCAAATGAACTACTATCACATGTTTATTTTAGTTAAAAGAAATATTAGATGGAGTATTAGATAGTTTATAACAGCAAAAAAGACGAAATTATGTCAGCATCTCTTATTTCAAAGTTCGGAGACGTTTTGATACGTGTCACTGAGCAACCATTAGTAATTAGTCAGTCCATGATCATTGATCATGCAATAACGGATACCTCAATCAAATTATTCGTCAAGCTATTTGAAAGAACAATGATTTCAAAAACGTCCGATTAAAGGAGAAAATGGATGTCTGCGAAGACAAAGGTGACTTTTTCTATACTGCCAGACGAATATTCCCTTGACTTTAGCCTAGGGTCTTACAAATTGGTTGTTTGTCGGTTGTCCCTTTTTTTACTGAGAAACTGAACTGAGTTTCTGAGTCACCAGATAGTAAATTTTTTTTTCTATCACCCAATCCGAAAAGTTCAGTAAAATCGATTTCTCAGTAAAACAAGGGACAACCTGCAGGTTACTGAGTTTACATTGTCTGTGTGTGCGCAAAATACGGAAAAATGGCTGCCAGTTATTCTATGGATAAGCAGATCACAAGAGACAACAGTAGAAAATTATTTTCTACATAAACGAGGAAATATTCAAAGAGATCATCTAAAATATTTACTAATGCAAAGTGGTGAACAGCTAAGCAACCGTTTTCTGTGGGACGGGGTAGATGTCGCTAGATACCAGTCAACTGTAACAATACAAAAAAAGTAGTCTACAGGTAATAAAATTGACAGTGTATAGATAATCTATTATGATGAATCGATTAGAAATACTTCCAACCTCCTTGGCATCTGTAGAGGGTGTGCAGAAAATCTTTTAGCTTTATATTACATCAGATGGTTTTTTGGTGGAATCAAATACATTAGCGCAAAATCGACTTTTTATACAGAGGACGCAACCGATTCAAAATTTTTTCCTGAACACCTTATTATATGAATCGACGGGGCGCCAAGTATATCTTGGTTTAAAAAACTTTTTGGGGTTTTTGGGGGGGTTTGGGGGGGNATGCGAAAAGTGATTTGAATCAAGAGATACTTTGCTGACCGTCGATTCATATAATAGGCTGTTCAGGAAAAAATTTTGAACCGATTCTGTCTCAATATAAAAAGTCGATTTTGCGCTAATGCAGAGAAGTTCATAGCGTTTCTCATCTATACTAGTTGCGAACGCCGACAGAAGGGAAGCGTGAGCTTTGTTTTGAATTCAGAAATAGTTTTAGACCTCTTGCTCTTTATATTTATATTAGATCATTAGCGCAAAATCGACTTTTTATACGGAGGACAGAATCGGTTCAAAATTTTTTCCTGAAGAGCTTATTATTATGAGATAACTCGATCGGAAAATGAACACGTCACACAAGAAGACATAAAACTGTTATTGGAAGAATATGTTACTACTTTGAATCGTCATTTATACATCGGTACTCTTCCAGTGTCTTATTATGCACTGACGTGTTTTAATGGCGATATAATAGTTAATTGTTCATATCACCGATAAAAAAAAATTAAAGTTCATTTAGAGTTAAAGAAAAGTGCTTTTTCGTATTCAGCACACTTGATAACCTGGAAAATTTTCTGTTTTTAGCGAGGGGTACCGCCAAAAAGTTAAG